TTTTTTTAGTATTAAAATCTCAAGGTACATCAGATTCTGAAAATCATATTCAACAAATTGCTCGAACTTATCCAAAATTTACACCATTACTTTATTCACGAGTACCAGAACATCTTATTTCTATTATTTGGAATGATCCTGTTATGAGACAACTTGCATCAATTATTGGTAATAAACAGGTAATAATAATAATCTATTTGAGTTTGTTGTTTTTTTTTTAAAACAAAACAAAAATAAATTATCATATTTAGGATGATTCATCTATCGAAAATATTTCAATGAAACATACTGACACAAAACCAACAATACCAGCATTTGATGATGAACATTCATCGAACTTTTTTGATTATGAAGCATCAAGTCAACTATTAGCTATGCAACAACAACAACGTGATGATCATAAAAAAGAATTTTTACCAACTGTTCGTGGTGTAAAAATGTAAGAAATTATTATTATTTTAATAAACATTTTATTTTAATTCATTTAAATTTAGGCGTCTACCACGTCATGTACTTAAATTTGGTTTTCGTGAACTTGATCTTGATTCTCCAGAAGAATCAATCATTTCATTACGTGATGAAGGTACATCAAAATCACGTCGACGACGAATTTATATGCATCTTATGGTAAGTAAATTTAATATGTATTAACAAATAATATTTGAAATAATATCATAAAACTACAGTGTAATCATGATAATAACTAAACTATTTATCGTAAGTGCTATGTAGATATATATATATATATAAGATATTCGCTTTGCTTGTTTTATCAATGTTGATTGCTTTATAAATTCTTATTTGCTTTTCTTTTAGATGTCGGTTAATGAAAATGTAGTAAGTAAATGAGATTTGATTGTATTCACTTGTTAACACAGATTGATTTTTGTTAAGATTAAAAAGAAAAAAAAATATTAAATGACGTTTCTTTTTTTAATTTAGTGTGCTCGACATGAACTTGTTAAAAGTCAATTACGACAAATGTTAAAAACAGACTATCGATCAACATCAGTATTACCTCCTATAACACGATCTTCCATGTGTAATTGATTCTTTGTTAGACATGTTTTAATTCCGTTCGGTGATACATGTTTACAATGATTATTTCAATTATCTTTTTCTTTTTTTTTCTTCTGAATATCGAGGTGTTTATCATCATAATAAAATTATTCAATTACCGTTTCTGTCACTTACTTTTTTTGTGCTTGAAAATGAATAGAAGTATGATGAAAGAAAAACATATCGTACTTTATCTACCTTTTGAACTCTAAAGAGTGATAGGAACGACATGTCTCAACAAGTATGTTCTTCACAACATATAATTCAAGATATTTCATTCAAATTTTGCTTTCATTGAGCTCGAGTTCAGTGTAAGATTGAAAACCTTAAATAATTTTTTGACATAAGACGTTGCATTGAAATAGTAGGAGGCCAAGAAAAAGATAAACTTTATTATCATAAAAGAAGTCCAAGAAATTATGAATTTAAACTATAAGTAGCCTGTGACTTCCAACATAAAATTACTCATATGTCTAATTGCTACTATGAAAGTGTACACGATCTCAAAACTTTAAGAAAATCAAGATTGTTAATGCATACTGGAAAAGATGTTCAAATAATGGATGAAAAATACGTAACTACTCCAAGAAAAAAACCTCGAAGAGGTATTTTGACAACAGCAGATAAACTTTACAATAAGAATATTTCCAGTGCAAGAGCTG